CTTTTTCATCTGCACTGAACAGGTAAGCTGACAGTTTCCGCTAATTTCAGATGCCTATGCTTCTGTGCATAACACTAATACTTGTGCAATTTTTCACTGGTTCCAAGCATGTGTTGCACATTCTGTTAGACTTGAATAAATATTAACTTTTATTCTACATCAAAGACAAATGAACCTGTATTGTTCTTCATTCTGTTATAATGCTTTGAGGCTGGAAAGGGTGATTTGGGAAAGATTAAAATGTAAAAACTAATACAAAATTGAAAAAAGTTTTCTTATTGACTAACCTTACCAAAGTGTTTTGAATTTTAAAGAACAGCTGAAGTTAATTGCTATAAAAACAGAACATGTTTCACAAAGAGGTTGAAATGAACAATTCATTTGCTTATTAAGGATGACAATGCTTTAGTGAGTTATGGCTTAACATCACTGAGGCTCTTGTAATATATTTAGCCATATACATCTCACATTTAACAGTGTTATGATCTACCTCCTAGACAAAGAATTTGAAGCATATGGAAATTTTTATGATTCAGTTGTGACATTGAAGGTAACCCTGGATTGATTCTGAATTTGAGGGTCAAAATAATGCGAGTTCTATGCTTACTAATTTGTTAAGGATTTTCTATATTAAGTTTCTTTATACATTTGATTATAAGAGACAATCTTAATAACAATTTTAAATAGGTTGGCTAGAAAACTAATTCTAAGCATCTTTCTTCATATAGTGATGGACACACACTAGATCAGGGGTGTCAAACTCAAGGCTGGGGGGGCAATCCGGTGTGCAGGGTGCTTAGATCTGGTCCATGGGGCTGCCCTGGAAACAGCGAAGGACCGGCCCACGGTGCCTCTGCTAGCAAAAATGGAGCTCTCTAGCACCGTTTTCCCTGGCAGAGGGTTGCAGGAGGCCGTCACAGCCGAAAATGGAGCTCAGGAGCCACTCGCGCTGCAATTGCTCTCTCTCTCAACTGGCTAGCCAGCGCTCCCTTTCCTTGGGCAGCCTGCCTAGCAGGAGGGTCTGCGCCAAAAATGCTCCCATCTTGGCACTGGGAGCGATATTGTAGTTCGGTGCTTTGGTGTGAAAACAGGAGCTCCTTTGCAATCTTGCAGGCACGAAGTTGTATCTATGCCTGCAGCTGTATTGCAATGAGCATGAAGGCAGAAGGAAGCCCTTTGTGCTTTTAGTCCTCTTAGGGCTGTTTGTGGATCAATTCCAAAATAAAAGAGAATTAAACTGCCAGCATTCCTCTATTTGTAAAAATAGAGGAGCTATCAAACAGAGCACGTCTGTTCAGCCAAGACTGAATAGAATAACTAGGGACGGTGGCCCAAAGGGGGCGTGTCTTCAGTTTTTTCTATTCAGTCTACAGCCAAGCACAGCTGAATATATATCCCACACATGGATCCTGTTGAAACCATTCTGGAGAATGTTTCCACTGGCGGAATGCTCAAGCCACCACAGGTGTCCCCCAACACAAGTGATGTCATGCTGGCCCCGCCCACCCTGCCCCCCTGAGGTCAAACACAGCCCTGATGTAGCCCTCAATGAAATCAAGTTTGACACCCCTGCACTAGATTATATTGTATTTCCTTATTGAAATGCATATTGTAAATGGTGAAGATTCAGCACAGTTTATTAAGCATCAGAAACTCTGAATGTAATCTGAACGCAATTCAGAAATGGACTCCAAACATATTTTTAATGTTCTTCCCACTGCAAAGGATGAATTACTATCCCAAAAGTTATTAACAAATAAGAATTGAGTCAGAGTCAGTGAGGAACAGGGTTTCACACCATTCTCTCACTCTTCCATATTAATACTAGCTGCTTTCTCTTTAGCTTTGATTTTTCTTTTATGACACTAATGACACTCCTTCCCCTTTCTAAATATCTAGCACCGCTGTATCTATGTGCTGAAAAGCAGATTGGTGGGAATGCTGCTTCCAATCTTTGCTTTCCAGCACATAGATACAGTGGTGCTAGATATTGCTGCTTCCAATGCCACTAGTGCTGGGCAAAAGGTTTTGTTCAGTGCTCAAAGCCAAATAAAGCTATATTAGCATGGATATTGGGGAAAAGAGAAGAAGCAGGAAGTAGGTGGGAGTTAGCCTGATGGGCGAATGGGAAAAGGAAGGATCTAACACTGTTTCATTCCAGTACCATAATTTCAAATGACAAAAATGGACCTGTTCTCTGAACCCAGTTTTAAACAAAATCAAGGTGGGAACGTCCCATCAAAAGCTATTAATGGCATAGATAAAATGGGAAAGGTAGCACTTTTGGACATGAACATAGTTTTCTTGTTGCAGCTGCTTGAATTTGAGTTGGTTAGGCCCAATATAAAACCATCCTATGACATAGTAATTAGTAGCGTAATTTTGGCAGTGTGATAATAATATCATATAATAATAATAATATGATATGTACCATATTTTGATACATTGGTATAATCCTTTGTACATTCCAGAAGGCTTTCTCAGTAAGAACTTTCTGTTTTAATTGTTATTAATTCATTCTTAATATACTAATTATAGGATGTACAGAAAATGTTACAAATGTCTTATTTTGCTTGGTTGTTTCTAGTAGATTACTGTGCCAATTATGTACATGTACACTACATGCTAAGCAGACGGATCTTTTAGAGATTTTAGCACATTGACATTGGTAATAAAGCTCCCTCTCAGGAACTTTTATTATTATGATTTTCACACAGTCATCCAGATGTTTAGACTGGAATTGACTGGAATTTATCCATCTATTAAGTAGTTCCTAAGGACCTGGGATAGACAAATTTTATTGTTTGATAGTGTTAAAGGTATTATTGCGGAATATAAGCTGTTACAAGTAAAGTGGCCTTTTGCAATTGACTATGACTATGGTGATTTTGTTAATGCCAGTGCTGTTCAAGTGGTGCTCTAGATGTTTTGGAGTTGACTCTATTGGTAGCACCTTTACTTTTCTTTTGAAAGCAGAGATTATTGTTATCATTATCACTAAGCATATACATCAGAAATGTTGCCCACTTTCTACATGTGCCCAAATAATTCAGTCATAATGCAGAACGATGAATGGAAAAGAAATCTCCTAAGGATTAATACAGCTGTGTGAAGGATTAATATAGTGAATAATAGAAGCTAACTTCAGTAATCTCAAGTAGCTCAGCAGCACAAAAACTGGTATTATATGGTAATACATAATTTTGGGCATATATTATGCAATGTATGTTATTTTTTATTATACTAGAATGAATTACTTTAACACAATTCCCTTTTTGGGGCTTTTATTACTTTCCAGGCTTTGTGTAACTGATAGATACTCAATTATATGTAAAGTGACTATTAAAGAATCAGTACTCATCTAGGGGTCTAGGTCTCCTTTCCTCTTTTCTCTTGAATTTGTGTTAAAACCATTAGTGTTGCAAAGAAATGTGCATTCATCAGGTACAGTGATGGAGGCCAGGGTGCATATTACAGCTTTTACTGCCTATGAGACATTGAAGCCCTGTTCTTAAGAACTGCCAGGAAGATTGGGAATCACGGTCACGGTTAATAGCAGCGAATTGCCAGTTCTTGATGGGTGGGTAGTCACTCTTCTCAGTGGCTGCCCCCTGGGGGAGAAGGTAGAAAAACAGAGGGAGGGAATTAGAGTGACTTTGCACAGTTGAGCAGGTTCATGCTGCTGGATCAGTGGCAGGCATTGGCAGGACTCCACTCTGGGGAGGCTCTAAACAACATCACACTCTCATTTTTACCAATTGGTGTTGCTATAGCTGGCAAAGAAAGGAGGGGCAATGGGATGGGGGCAGAACGGAGGAAATTGGAAGGCCAGGCTAAAGTAAGCAACAGAAAAGTTCTTTAGATCTAAGTAGAGTACAGTGTATAACTATGGTTGAAATGCTTCTAATTGTACTGGTATGTTGGAATTTAACTTGAAGTATGTAATTAAGGAGTTGGCTTGCAAATTCTTTGCATTCTCCAATGGTATAAGCATGGGGAAGGCTGGAGAAGCAGCTGACTTGGGGCACCGAGGCATGTGGAACATGCTTTAATTTTCCTTGTCCCACACATTCAACAAATCTGATTACCAATCCTGGATGCAAAAATGCAGAAACCAACAAAGAGTTTGCAGCATCTCTTTGCGAACAGTACGATATAGTGAAGAGAAGCACAAAAAGAAGGAACAATGAAGTAGGGATGATCCACTGCTTTTACATAATAGGGTTATGGTTTCAAACTGCAACCTTAGGAAAGAAAGCAGAAATATTTGATGTATTTTTTGATGCAGGGCCTTTTTTCTCACTGTTCCCCTAGACTTTCTATTATTTCTGCCCTCTAGGTTTCTTATTTTCCTCCCTCATTTGAAAGTCCTCTTTGTGGAGTAACATCTGTAAACTGTCATTTGGAAAATAAAATGATGGGATAAGAATTTTTTTGAAAGCAAGTGTAACAATTACGAAACTTGTCAGGGACTTGGCACCCAGGCCATCCTACTACTAGTGTGGTACCTCAGTGGTTTTTTGGGGGGGCCTAGACAACACAGCTTAGGTGGCATCGTCTTAATTTTTTTTTTCATGGTTCTTTGGGTTTAGAACGGCTTATAATAATAATTTTGACTAATACGATTTTGACATGCAACTTTAATGCTTAACCTTAGTACAACTCCAGAGCATTCCGTGTGCATTCAGCTGTAAAGAGTGATGATTTAAGGGAATGATATGAAGAAAAAGGTCGTTCTAGATTGAACCTTTAACAAATTGCACGAAGAAAACATATTATCCCACAAGTAAAAGGCTGCACAGCTTTTCAGATTTTTTTTTTCTGTTTGATTCAGAAAGTTGTTGAGACATAATAAAGAAAATAAGGAAATAAAGGGAAATAACAAAAAAGTGAATAGAAAATTGTAAACAGTGAAAATTCTTGTGAGATTTCTGATTGCTATTGTTAAAACACTCTCCAATAACATAAGATTTTTATTTTCTCTCTTTTTGGGGATGAAGAATTCGTTCCAACAAGAAAATGCTTTTATTGGTTGGAGGGCTGCCTCCTGGACCTGACCGGCTTCCCAGCAATTTGGTTCAGTATTATGATGATGAAAAGAAGACATGGAAAATACTGACAAGTAAGCAATTTATTTATGCTAAGTTACCTTGATGAATTTTAAAACATGGTTAATCAAATTAGGCACTTTATTGATTTGCTTCCCTAAAGAGATTTGTTTATATAAGCAATGGAATTTAACAAAGGACAAATAAATTGAGATAGAGGAAGGTAATATATTTTCTGTGAATAAGCCCAAATTAAAACTGGCTTAAAATCATTTAATAATGTTTTAGCTTTCTTACCTTCTCTAAATAAGCAGGCATTTTTAGTGCAGGGCATGTTACACACTATGGTTACTGTCCAGTAAAACTGAATTTCAAGAACAGTTATGTCTGTAGGACAACTGCACACTGTTCATATCATAAACACTACAGCTAATAAAGTTTGGGAAGTTTAACCTTGGCTGAATTGTGTCTAATTTATATTGTATTTTGAAATTCATGGCACTCTGTATTACATTCTATTATGTATCTTTTACTGTGGTGCAATTACTGTATTACTCTGAATATGTGTACAATTTTATTGAGAATTTTAAACACAAGAATGAAACTAATACAAATTTAAAAAGAGCAAAGAAAAAGAAAAGGAAGATTTTTTTAGGGAAAAAAAGATAAAAAGATAAAAGATCTTCCAATCTCCTTCACAGCAACTATGTAGGTATGGTTATAAATTGATCTCTCTTTCGAAAGTTATATCATGACTCTCTTTGTATACTTTATCTCTCTCTTTGATCGTTAAAACCATAAATCATAAGTTCACTTTTTGTTGTTGCTTTTTACACAAAGGGTCCATAAGGGATTTCCAGTCACCACAAAACATAGATTTTGTCTTATCAGTAAAGGGGAATATTTGTAGTTCAGGACTGAAATGAGTGGTCCTTTGTGTTCTCTGAGCTTAGTTGTTTCCTTGCAGACATTTCATTACCCAAACTAGGTGATACCGTGCTGATGATGTTACCTACTTTGGGTAATGAAATGTCTGCAAGAAAACAACCAAGCTCAGAGGACACGAAGGACCCTTCAAATTTTGTCTTTCCTTTAATCTAACAAGTCAAATTTTGCCATTTCCATGAGTTCAGTCATCTTTAGTCTTTCCTCTGTAATAGTTACTGCGGAGACTTTCTATCTTTGTACATACAATAATGTTGCAATCATTATATAACAATGGTCCGTGATTCTTTTCCAACTGTTTGTCCAAAGAGGAAAAGTTCTGATTTCAGTTGACTGTTAATCTTTAAAATTCCCTAAATAATTGAATGTATTTGAATCCAAAACTTTTTAACTTTTTTGCATGTCCACTAAGCATAATAAAACGTTGTATTTTTATTAGTTAATTTTCCCGTTAATGTTTCTGTTTCCTTTAGTGGTCCTTTAAAACCAAGTTCAAGTTAACAGCAAATGCCCTTAAGTTTTTACATCTTTATTCCCACAATTCTGTCATCTTGACTTATATTCAGTGATTCAGTAACTAAAATAAATAGGACAGGAGACAACTGGCATCCCTCTCTTGTCCCTTTTTGTATCTTAGAGTTTTTATTAAATCTCCATTGACAATGATATGTGTTTTCTATGAAGTATAAATTGATTTCTATGAATTATAAATGTAACTTACAATTACTTACTTATTGTATACATTGTCTCCCATATTCCTATCTTCCAAAATTTTAAACAATAAAGCCCAGTTCAAATTGTCAAAGGCTTTTTCTAAGACAATCAATGTGGCTGATTTTTCATTATGTTCCTCCCAGTAATCCAAAATATCCAAAGTATTTTAACATTATCCTTTAAAAATCTTTTAGATAAAAATCTACGTTTATCCTCATAAATAAATTATTGAATAACTATTTTCAATCTCTCAGTCAGAACCACTGTAAACAACTTATAATAATTATTCAGTCATGATATTGGCTGATGTTTCCTGTTAAAATCAATTCTTGTCCCTCCTGAAATATTAATGCTCTTTCCAGCTCTCTGGCATCTTTATACCCTAACAGGGGTCTTCAAACTTGATAGCTTTAAGACTTGTGGACTTCAACTCCCAGAATTCCTCCTCCAGCCATGTTAGCTCAGGAATTCTGGGAGTTGAAGTCCACAAGTCTTAAATTTGCCAAGTTTGAAGACCCTTGCTCTATAAAGTAGAATTCATCATATTTTGTAAAGATAGTAAGAAAAGTGTAACCCATGTATTGTCCAGGAACCATTCCTGTTTTAGACTTTTTCTAGTTTTACAAACTTCCCTTGTTGTAGTAAGTCCATTTGTAATCTATTTCTTTTTTCTCTGCAATCCACAATAAATTTTGTGCCTTTAAATATTGATCTATTTCCTCCAAAAATTATTGTCCTTTATCTAAATTAGAATCATATTGATTAAATGTTTTTACAGCCACATTATCTGCAATTTCAATATCATTTTCTTTTCATAATTTGTATGCCAATCATTTCCTTGGTTTATTTGCAAACTCAAAATTCTTTTATCTTCCATAATTCATTTTCATTTCTTGTATTTTTTACATAGATAATTGTTTCTGTAAAAGCTTAATTTGTTGAGAAATACTGATCTTTTCTGGGAACTTCTATAAATCTTTTCTTCTTTTTATATAATTTAAAGTAGCTTGTGTTTTCTTTTATCTCTTTTCTTTGAGTTTACCATTATGTTGTAAAAAGTAACCACTAATGGGAGCTTTGCTTATGTCCCAAACCATTCTTAAGTCTGTAGCTTAATTACGATTAAGGTTAAGTACCTTAACATCTGTACTCTTTTAGCTTCTTTTTACAGTCTCAGTTTTGCCTCTATCTGTAACAGTATTTTATTTAACCTTCATCTCATATGTAAACACCAATCTGAAATCTCCATTTAAAAACCAACTCACTGAATTAAGAGCGGAAAAAAGTATTTGGTAGTATGTCTACTTTATAAACCTTAGTAGCTAAATTGATACCTATTCTTTGAAAAGACCTATGTTTAATTTCCATTTTTGTGCTTATACCAACACTAGATGAGTCTGTCTTGTATCTCTCTCTGATGTGGCCTTGTGTCAATGCACAATATTACTTATAATTGCCCAACTCTGTTCATCTCTTTTCTTAAAGGGCACCTGTATACTGAGATTTAGAAAATACTATTTGATCAATTACAATTTCCAAGCTTACTTGGTTGTAGAATCAAATAAATGTTTTTTGGGGGGTTGACTGGCTGCATTTATATATCAGTTCCTTTGTGGGTAGGTTAGCTGCATTGGTCAATAAAGCTAAAATTTTCATTGTCAGAATTGCCTAAAGCTATTCAGATAAAATTATAAATGAACACTTTTCATCCATAAATCAGATCTATACTTTAACAGCTTGACTAGTGAAATTGGAGGCTTCTAAAATAAATGTTTTCTAGCAATCTGATCCTAAGAGCAATTTTATCTAAAGTCATAAAAGTAGGACTTGAAAAAAGTACAGAATTGAAAAATACTATACAGAGGCATGTACCTACAGATTAATTGATTAATTAAGTGCCATCAAGTGGGTGTTAACTCTTAATAACCACATAGCTACCATCGAACTTCTCCATGAAGATTTGACCCCAACCTAATACTTCAGGTATTCTAATAGTACACCCATTGTGTCTGTAATCAATTCTATCCACTGTCATCCACTTTGCTTTCCTTCACATTTTTTAGTATTACACAAACACAAGAGTGTGAGTTGTTCACATAATGTGTCCAGAATATTACAATTTGAGCAAGTCTTTTGTAGTCTTGAGTGAGAATTCAACATAACAAACACAAGCAACAGAACATAATGACACCAGAATCTTGGATTTTAAAAGAGCTGATTTTAATAAACTCAGAGAGAACTTGGGAAAGATTCTATGGATGAAAATCCTAAAGGGGAAAAGAACTCAAGAATCTTGGGAAACTGAGAAAGAAAAACAAAAAATCCAAGAAGAAATCAGCATGGCTGCACAAAGATCTCTCTGGCAAATTGAAAGAAAAAAAGGTATACAACTAAGGCAGAATATCAGCAGATAGCCAGAATCTGCAAAGACGAAAAACATCAAGGAAACTGTCAGTCCACTAAAGAGAGAAGACGGCAAGCAAGTAACAGGCAACATAGAGAAAGCAGAACTGCTTAACTCATTCTTTGCATCGGTCTTCACGCAAAAAGAAACTATAGCTCAACCCACCAAAAACATAACTGTAAAAGACAGACCAGTACTCAATGTGTAGTCCTTGATGGGTCTAAGTCTACATGGAGGGAAGTAAGCAGTGGGGTACTACAAGGTTCTGTCTTAGGCCCAGTACTCTTCAATATCTTCATTAATGACTTGGATGAGGGAATAGAAGGGGAATTTACCAAATTTGCAGATGATACTAAGCTGGCAGGAATAGCTAACACCCAAGAAGATAGGCTCAAGATCCAAATGGATCTTTTTTTAAAAAAAACAAATTTTATTCAGTTTTTCACATAAAAACAAAAAGCTCTTTTTAGTGGACAACATATTTCCGGGTCATCACTTTTACATACAAATATGACAATAGTTATACATTCATATATGCATACTTAATTCTATTATTACCTTTTCCATTCGAAACTTTCAGAAAGGAGAGAAACAAGCAATTTAATCCTAGTCTCTTTGCTTAATCTCAATCCAAATATCTTTTCGTTTCATTTCAATTATTTCAAATATAATCCTTTGATATTTATTTTAAAAACAAAAAATAACAATATATGTTTACCTAATAATAATAATAATTAAAAAGTTACCAATATCTCTCCTTCCTTTTAATAGTCTGTATTATCTTATTAATTTAAATAGTTCTTTAATCTGTCATATTTTCTTTCCATCACACATTCTTTCTATAAATTCTAGATTAATACAAGTTTTAACACAAAAGAAAAATAAACAAACATAGGTTTCCCCCCTTTTACTGCTTTGAGTGTGACACCTCAGTGGTTAAAATATACCTTTATTCCCTCATCTTAATTCCCAATAAACCTTTATTTTTAAGTAGTTACAATAATAATCATT